GGATTTTCTTTGGAAGGAAACCCCCCACAGCTCTCCCCAGAGTGAGAAGGATTAATCTTGCATCTACTACTCAAGATCTGTCTTCTGGGCCCTATTTTCTTGTGGTAAACCAATCCATAACCCAATCCCACCTTCAAGCCCCTGCAGCAACATCTCCAGTAGAAATTCAACCTGCTGGACGCTCATGTCACCTGCTCCTCTGACACTGAACAATTTGCTTCAGGTTTTCATGGCAGGGTGTTGGGTGCTCCTTGCTTTCCTTGAGATGGGAATACAAGAGGAAGGAAACAGCCTCCATCATATTAACTTCCCACTGCTCAGACACTCAGAGCCCTGAAATTCCTCCGTGTTCTCCTTTTGTCCCCATTGTATCGGGTCAAGGTGGAGAATCCAGGCTCTTCTTGCCTTTGGTTTCCTTCACCAGGGTCTCGACCTGCCTCCCAGCCTGGCTGCGTTCTGCCCTTGGGAACAAGGTGCCCTGGTCTACGTGGGGTTTGGGCTGCAGGAGGAAGCCTTGTTCTACAGTCTGCGCAAGAAGCAGGTACCTGTGCCCTGTGTTAATCCCTGTCTGTCCCAGGGCTGGGCTGGGCTCAGGGAACCCTCCTCAGCTTGGAAACCCCCAGGGGAACAGCTGAGCCCTGCCCCTGCCTCAGGCTGTGTCCAGGCAGGCAGGCAACCAGTCCCTGATCCCACTGCAGGCTGCTTCCAGGAGCACTGGCTCGCTCCACATTGCTGAGCCATCTCCTGGATGGCTGGGGCAGGTTTCCTGTGCACCCTCAGCCTCCCTTTACCCTCCTAATGACCCCCTGCACAGCTCTGGGCTGTCCCTTCCCCCCTGTGAGGAGTTGGTGTTTCTCTTGCTGGATGCAGGTGGTCAGGAGAGTGTCCTTGCCAGCCTTTGCCACTTCGCTCAGCCTGTCCCCAGCCGCGCCCTTCATGGCCCTGGGCTTCCGTGGTGAGTGCTGGGCCCCTCCACGGGGAGGGATCTCCCCTTCTCCTGTCAGGGGGGGAACAAGGGTCCTTGTTCCATAAAATGAGACATATACACACACACCGTATCCTCAAACCCTGGGAGCTACAGCCCAGGGTAAGGAGAAACCTCCAGGGGAGACTCCTAGGTCAGAAATGAGATGCATGAGCTCAGTCCTGCTTGTCCAGGGGCAGGATTTATCACTGGAATGACTTCCTGGGGTAATGGGCTGCGGCCCAGGAGGCAGCAGACATCTTCCCATGGCAGGGGACAGTCACAACCCTGCTCCTGACAGGGGCACCACGTGCCTGGAGTGGTTTGGATCCACCTGTCCTGTGTCACTTAGCTCAGCAACTCCCAACTCAGCAGCAGGGAGAGAGCCTGGGGAGTGACCAGGAACGGTGCTCCTGGCAGGGACAAGCCTGGAGAGGGCCCGGGTGTGACAGGGAAGGGTGGTCCTGGCAGGGAAAAGCCCCCAGGGAGCGGGTTTGTGAGTGGCCGGGAGCAGTCCGAGCCCCCAGCCCGGCCCTGACCCTGCTCTCCCAGCGCGGCTCCTGCGGCTGCAGCCGTGCCCCGCCGGGGACCCGCAGGATTACGCCGGCCACGACGACACCGTGCACCTCTGCCGCTTCGCGCCCTCCGGCCGCCGCCTCCTCACGGCTTCGCACAGCGCCGTGCTCGTGTGGGAGCTGACGGGCGGCTGAGCCGGGCGGGCCCTGCACCGGCAGCGCTTCTCCAGCGGGGACAGAGCCCGGAGCGCCCGGCCCCGGCTCCCGGGACAGGCCCCGGCTCCGGCCACAACCAGGCCTCAACTACCGCCCCCACAGCTGCAGGGCCCGGCGGCGGCGGGCCGGCCCCGCCCGGCCCCGGGATGTGTTTCACGGCCCTGTTCGCCGTTTGTTGTCGTTAAATGTTTTGTTTTCGTTAATAAACCATCGACAGACGAAACCCTGGGGGTCCCAGCGTGTTGCCCTCGCCAGGGGGCGCTGTGGTGTCCCGCGCCGCTCCGCGCCGCCACTCGGTGGTGCGGCCGGAAGTGGGGGGGGAGGGGGGCAGGGAGGCGGCGGTGCCACCATGAAACGGGACGTGCGGATCCTCCTGCTCGGGGAGGGTGAGGGGGGTCCTGAGGGGCCGGGCGGGGGTCGGACCCTCCTGCTCGGGGA